GAGAACTTCCCCAGAATTGTTAAAAATACCACCGAGGGCATTCAGGCTTTGTAAAACGCTGGAAAAGTTAATTCCAGACAACTCTTCACATGTCTCATTGTGAGTCACTGAGAAAACAAAAAAATGAGCCCCAGGACTCATGACTTGGTTGTCTCCTTTAACTAGTAGACCGCAATCCCATTGGCAACATGAGAGGGCTTGGTTCCAGGATGCAATGCCCAAAGTGCAGGGCAGGGAGCACTGGTGAGCATGTAATGGTAGCTCCTGAGGCGAACGCACAATACAATGCATCCAGATGGGTCAGGAATGAGCTCTGGACAAGTCAGAACACGGGACTTCTGGTTTTATTTCCCACATTTGGCAGTCCCCTTTCTCTCCTCTCAGTCTCCTTCTCTTTAAAATGGAACTAATGTCAGAGTGAAGGAAGAGAGTACAGATTAAAGCATTTTGAAACCTGCAAGTCCTTAATCTCATGGAAGGCGTTATAATTTCTCCACTTTCACATAAGTGGAAAATGAAGGTAAATAACATAAATCCCGCTAGTACCTTTTCTACCATTGGTAACCCACTTTAAAGTCAGCAGAAGCTCTAAAGCAGGCAAAATATGGGAGCTTATATACAGCAGTCCCTCCATATCCTTGGTTTTGAAACTGCTCTCTGCAGTTTCAGTTACGAATAGTCACCTGTGGTTTGGAATCAGGTAATCTTCCTTCTGAGGAATCCTCAGGTCAATAGCAGCCTTGTGCTAGGTGACAATGCCTGCTGTCATTTCCCTCACTCCATCTTATCACGTAGACATTTTATCATCGTACATCTTCAAAAGAAGGGTGAGTACAGTACGGTAACAGATTTTGAGAGAGAGACCACATTCACACAACTTTTATTGCAATAAATTATTATGCTTGTTCTGCTTTGTTATTACTTATTATTGTCAATCTCTTACTGTGCCTCATTTATAAATTCAACTTTATCATAGGTAGCTAGGTATAGGAAAAAACATAGTATATATTGGGCTTGACACTGTCTATGATTTCAGGCATTCACTGGGGGTCTTGGAGCACATTCCAAGGAGGGACCACTGTATACATATTCTTATTCTGGTGGGAAAACAAAGGTTTGGAAATTTAAATGAATAGTGTAATTACAACACATTTCCTTGATTTTCTTCTCAAAATGGATGTTCTACATATGTAGAACATAATTTGTTCTACAGTCCCGATTAAAAAGATGGGGCAACTGGGTGGCTCAGTAGGTTAAGCTTCTGACTTCAGCTCAGGTCATGGTCTTGCAGTTCATGGGTTTTGAGTCTGGAACAGGCTGTGTGCCGACATCTTGGAGCCTGTAGACTGCTTTGGATTTCGTATCTCCCTCGCTCTCTGTCCCTCCTCTGCTCTTTCTCTGTCTCTCACTCTAAAAAAAAAAAAAAAAAAAAAAAAAGTAAGCATTAAAAAAGAAAAAAAAAAGAAAGAAGTTAGAAACTTACCTAAACGGAAAAGGAAAAAAGGAAGAGAATGAAATTTTTGAAAGCCCTTTATGTGCCAGACACGTCACATATTTTATCTCATATAATCCCTTACAACAACACAGGAAGAAAGTAGAGTGTTTCTTATTTTACAGATGAGAAAACTGCAGCTTGGTGACATCAGGCGGCTTTCTTACCACTCAGCTGGGTATCAAATCTAGGATTTAAGTCCAAGTCTGTCCAACTCCAAAGCATATGTTCTCCTACATACCATACCATATTCCACCTTGAGCATTTTATTGTGAAATAAGGATTTATTTCATTAAACATAGTAAAGGAAATAGGCCAATTCATTTACCCATTCAACAAGCCTTTCTTAAATATGTATTATATATACAACACTGAGCTAAGTGCTAGAGACACAAAGATGCAATAAGAGAGCCCTTGTTCACAACAAAATCTTCTTTTTTAAAGGTGTTTATTTATTTTTGGAAGAGACAGAAAGAGAGAGAGAGAGAGAGAGAGAGAGAGAGAGAGAGAGAGAGCACAAGCAGGGGAGGGGCGGAGAGAGAGGGAGACACAGAATCTGAAAAAGGCTCCAGGCCCCGAACTGTTAGCCCAGAGCCCAAAGTGGGGCTTGTACTCGTGAGCCAAAGTCAGATGCTTAACCAGCTGAGCTACCTAGGCGCCCAAGAAAATCTTCTTGAATTCATCTACATTTATCAAAAAAGAGAAACTCATTTAAAAAAAATGGAAGCAAATCCCAAGCAGATTCAAATCTAACAAAGAGCTTTATTTTATTAAGCCTCTCAGTATATTAACATAGGATCATCTAAAACTAAGTGTCTACAAAGATCTTGAGATCCCCATCTCCAAACCTCATGCCACATCTGAAGTTTTAACTGGAACAAGTTCATACATCCCAATGGTCAAAAGAGAGGCATAGTTGTCTATTCTGTGAGCTACTCAAATTTCAGAGCTCCCTAGTTAGCAGAAGCCAAGAGAGTCTTGGATGATTAGGTTCAGGGTCAATAAAGTAAGATTAAGATGTCCCTGAATTTTGAACCACTAGGCTGTGAGACAATGTCTTATCATGTCGGTAGAGTTATACTTTAAAAAGTATTTATTTTGGTGTTGATTGTGATTACCATCACTGCCTAGACACTTTGGACTTTGTTTCAGAAGGAATTCCAAATATTACTTATAAGAAGCAAGCCCCAATCTCTTAATGACAAAATGTATCCCCAGTGACTGTGAATAGGGTAAAATGGCAAAACAAATACAATGCTTTTTACTTGAAGGATCTGCCAGCAGAGGGCAATATTAGTTCTCACACTTTTCCTAATACCTCTTCTGATCCTAAACCATTAAGAATAAAATACCTATTTAGTAGAAATCTCGGGTTGTAATTTGTTGTTGTTGTTGTTGTTCCACGCAAATAAGACTAGTCACATAGTAGAAGCAAAGATAAGACATAATGTTGATTATTAAAACTCCAACATCTCTGATAAGAATTAATGAAAACTCTAGAACACTCACAAAAGCTCTACATTTTTGTTGCTTATAATGTGAATGGGAGGTTACCATCTCTTCATGGTATTTTCCTAGTGTCTAACATAGAGAAGGTTCTCCGCGACTGTCCATTGAATGACTTACAAGTAATAAAAGCTGATCAAATATACACACACACAGGTTGGGGCAGAAGCTGAGGGTAGGGGTGAAAACTTCTCACGCTTCCCTCCCATTTAGAATGCAATCATTTTTTGCACATGGTTTCTCTGAATGCTTCTGTTACCACATTGGAAACTAGTTTCTGGCCTTTCTGCAAGTTTTAGGGCAGCCTTGAATCGATGAGCTTAGTCTTCATAGCTTTGCATTAGTGGAAGACAAACGCTATTCCTGAATTTTCCGTAGGAGAGTTCTGAGGCTTACTTAAGTTGGTAAAGATACTGGATTTGTGAAAAGTTAGATTAGGGAAATTAAAGTATTATTGATTAATTGCTGGTTGGGTGAAATGAGCCACTTGAGAGAACTAAGTCACAAACACCGAGACTATGATTTTCTTTAGGCTGAACTCAGTTGAAACATATAACACAAATTGTGACTCAGTGTGCATGTGTTACACACTGGATATCTCCGAATTTTATTTTGTCAATGTTGGTGTGTAGTTATTTCATCACTGATTATTTGGTGCTTACGTAGGATGATAGCAGCAATGTTAGGGGTTTGAATTAGTTGGCACAATGCCATTTTTTTCAACATCTGTTAAATATGGTTCTAATTTTATACTGTTTCAGCATATAGCTAAATATTTAGCGTTAAAAATACCCTTTGGGGATGGCTGAATGAGTTTTCATGTTTCCAATAATTCATTGTGCATTTGTGTTTAGAAAAATCAACTTTAAGGCATAAACTACAAGTCCAGTGGGAAGAAACCTTTTTCTGTGCACTCTTGATGTTTAGCTTTTTGGCCAGCCTATAAGTCACAGCAAAAGAAATTTACAGAGATGCTTTCAATGCAGTACAGAAAATCCTCTACTGAGGGACTTGGGATTAGCTGCAGTGTGAGTGGAAGAATTTGGCTAAGATTTTGTCCATCAAATCTCAGCAAAGTTTGCCCACCAGGGTCATTTACAGGCTAATGCAGCTCAAGTTCTGTAAGAAAATAACACACCTGGTCTGTCATCAACAAGGTGTTCTGTTTAAGCAGCTTTTCCAGGGAAGGTTTAGGTTTATGCTCCCTTGGCACACTCTCGTACCACGTTGACTAGTGGCTACAAGTCCACAAGCTGGTATTGGGCTGGAGTTGGTCACCAACACCATAGTCAAACTAAGTGGTACACATGCTAATTACTCTGGTTTCATTAGCATGCTGTTCTGATGGAGGTAGTAGTTACAATTTATTATAGAATTTTTCTTTTTTCAATAATCATGGATCTCTTCCATCCTCAGTGTTTCAGTAGTGACACCATACTTTCTAAGCTTTGCTTAAGCAGCAATGCCTCATTTGCCATATGGCAGTGAGCGACAGTAGCATTATTGCCTTAGGGTACATTTTCAATGTTTATTTATGCTATATAATGCCTTTAGTCTGATTTCCAAAAGGCCCAATAGAATTTCTTTCAGATGTTCAGTCTTTTAAGACATGACTCTGCTGGTAAAATACACTCACGAATTACCATGAACTATTTAATTCATTTTATTTTGTGAATGGCAAATGACTAATAAAAATTAGTTGGATTTCTTGATGCTATCATAGTCATGCCTCATTAAAAATGGTTTGGGGGCTACTTTTGCTATTTGTTTTATAAATAGCCTTTTTATTTTACAATGGTTTTAGATTTATGGAAAAATTGTGCAGATAGTACAAAAAGTTCCCTTATGCTCTTTAGCCATTTTCCCCTAGTATTAACATCTTTCATTGTTCTGATAGATTTGTTACAACTAGTGAACCACTATTAACTAAATATTAACTGAATTCCACCACACTTGGTTCATGTTTGCTCAGCTTTTGCTGAATACTCCTTTCCTGTTCTAGAATCCCATCCAGGATAGCATATTGCACATTAGGATTCTCTAGACCATGACAAGAAGTCTTGAGGCTATTCTTGGAAGGAAGACGACAGATGGTTTTCTCATCACGTCATATCCAGAGTATGTGCTATCAACTAACTTCTCATTGTTGATGTTAACTTTGATCACGTGGTGGAGTTAGCACTGGCCAGGTTTCTCCCCTGTAAAGTTATTACCCCCCTTTCTTTACTGTATTCTTGAGGGGTAGTCACTATGTGCAGCCCACGTTTGAGGGGTGGGTATTTATCTTCCATGTTTTTGACATGGGGTTATGTACCTATATTATTTACAACTCTTCTGCATAGGAGAAGAGTCATTTACTTGTTTATTTGTTCAGTATTTGTATCCTAATGGGCTCTGCGATATTTATTTCACACTGTGGATTATAATCAATGTTTTTTTTTTTTTTAACATTTATTCATTTTTGAGAGACAGAGACACAGCATGAGTGTGGAAGGGGCAGAGAGAGGGAGACACAGAATCCGAAACAGGCTTCAGGCTCTGAGCTGTCAGCACAGAGCCTGACGCGAGGCTCGAACTCACAAACTGTGAGATCCTGACCTGACCCGAAATCGGACGCTCAACCGACTAAGCCACCCAGGCGCCCCTTGATGTTTTGTTATTTTGTTGCTCATAAATTGTTCCAGATTTGACCACTGGGAGTTCTTTCAGTTGGCTTCTACTGGATCTCACAAACTGTGGGATCATGACCTGAGCTGTGATCAAGAGTCGGATACTTAACCAACTAAGCCACCCAGGTGCCCCAACATTGGCTTCCTTTTTACTTACATTAAAAAAAACCCCACAAAACTGGATTTTTAACTGAGTGTAGGCTGAAAATAAATAGGAAACAAAGAAAGAAAATTGGTTTTCATGATATATTCCCTTATATTCTTAGAGGAACCTGGAATTAGTTATTTTATTTTGATTAATGTTTTTTTGAATAAGACTAAGATATTTAAATTAAAAAGTGAAGGCAAAAAGTTGAATCCAGTTTATTGTTATTGAAATCAACACTTTTCCTCTTTCTTTAACTGGTATAGAAAAAAATATGTGGAAGGTTGTGACCAGCTGTAGTTCTTCTGAAAATGGAAAAAGAAGAGAGTCTTAAATTATATTAGAAGAAATATAAGGGGGAAATATTCTGATAAAGAGAGTTGGTCAATGTTGGAATGTAAGATAAGAAGTTAGAATTCTTCCTCTGTTTTTAAAAATTAGGACAGATTCCCAGCTGTCTGGAATAGTAGGTGTTTTCTGATTTTCAAAGCTCTTTCCCCTCCCTGAATTCTGACACTCTTTACATCTGTAATCAAAGCCTTAGCCTAGGAAAGCCCGTACTTTGAAGATATGGGAGGAAGGTGTATAAAAAGAGAAGAAAGATTTCACCCTTAAAAAAAATCAGACTTAGAATAAAGGTGAAAACAGAAAATGGGTTATATCTACTACCCAAACTATACTTTCATACTTTTCATATTTTTCACTATCAAGTAAATCCATATTGGAACATCAGTCTTCCCCTTCTTCATAGCCCCTGATGGTTAATAGGGACTGGTCACAGGCACTAATGGATGTTTCCTTTTTTTTTTTTTTTTTTAATTTTTTTTTCTTCGTTTTTATTTATTTTTGGGACAGAGAGAGACAGAGCATGAACGGGGGAGGGGCAGAGAGAGAGGGAGACAGAATCAGAAACAGGCTCCAGGTTCCGAGCCATCAGCCCAGAGCCTGATGCGGGGCTCGAACTCAGGGACCGCGAGATCGTGACCTGGCTGAAGTCGGACGCTTAACCGACTGCGCCAACCAGGAGCCCCTGGATGTTTCCTTTTAATCAACAGATGAGTGACTAGATAAGTCACAGCTTTATGCTATTCCCTTTTCGGAAAGCATTTTTTAAAGCTACTTAATGCTAAATTGTCCTTACTTCTACAACTTTTTAATTATCTCTCTGGAGGTAAGTAAAGATAATTTTTGCATAAATAAGATGGTTTAAAATAAGATGGTTTAGGGGTGCCTGGGTGGCTCAGTCATTTAAGTGTCTGACTTTGGCTCAGGTCATGATCTCATGGTTTGTGAGTTTGAGCCCCACATTAGGCTCTTTGCTGTCAGCACAGAGCCTGCTTTGGATCCTCTGTCCCCCTTTCTCTTGGCCCCTCCCCCACTGGTGCGTTTGCATGTGTGTGTGTGTGTGCGCGCGCGCATGCATGCACTTTTTCAAAAATAAACATGTAAAAGATAAAATAAGATTCTAACCAATTATTTTAGCCTTATAATGATTAATTTTCTCTTCAGAATATTTTCATAAGAATGTCATATTCAGTCTAGTAATAAAATTATTTTGCATGGTGGCAATGGAGTGTATTGAAAATAGGGCTCAAAGACCTAGGGTTTACTCCTGGCTGTACCAGATACTACTGATGTGATCTGGGGCAAGTTGCTTGATGTTCTGAGTTATTTTGCTGGTCTCTTAAATTGTTAAGTAATATTTATCTTACAAGGTTATTGTGACTATTCATGCATATGAGTTCATATATTCAGGTATATGTTAAAGTACTCATTAGATGGCTATTACTATTATTATCATTATTATTAATCATTATACATTCAGCAGTTCATTATGTATTATTGAATTTCTATAGTATGTTGGGCACTGTGGGCTTATAAAAGTGAATCAAACACAGCCCTTATTCTCAAGGAATTTATAGCATTGTGGGGAAAATATAAAATTAGTTTGAACTGATAAATAATGAGGGAGAGAGCTCAGAAATAGGCTTACATGCAGGGAAAACTCATTCAAGACCGAAGAATGCTTCATGGATAATTCACAAAGCAAAATAAGTCAAGACTATAGTATCATTTCTTTTTTCCTAGAAAGGCCTATATGGTGTGGGTATTATTATATTAATGACAAGACTCTGAAGTACACTATAAAGCAGTGATATATTTCAAAGTCGCATTATTAGAATTTTCACTTTTATTGTAAAATAATAGGGACAATGTGGATAGGAGACAAAAGGAGGAGAATAAAAGTGAAGAGGTCAAGAAGATGTGAGGATCATGACAGATGATCTGAGTTCTTTGCGTGAACCTCATCTTCAGTCTCCTCTTCCGTGAAACAGGGATCATTCTATTAGCAACCTCATGGTTTTTAGAGTAAGAATTAAAGGTAATTAAATGTGTTCATACATGGACAGCACTTAACAGTGCCTCAGACATGGGAAGTACTCAATGATCACTAGCTAGTTCATCTGGTGACGTGCAAGAGTAATGGTTTCAGGTCTGAAGCCGACTGCCAGCACTGCTGCAAAAGTTTATGAGATCTTGGACAAGTCATTCTCTGGGCCTCAGTTTCTCTCTGTAAAATGAAGGCCCTAGGGTGGAAAAATGATGTCTAAAATCCTTTCTAGCTTTTGAATTGGGATGAGGTGGCAGAAGAGACTGGATGTATGGATACTGCCAAGGTCCTGACTTTGTGGGGACAGAAGCTACCTGTGAGAGAGGATGGACGTGTGGGAGGACATCTGGAGAGGGGTCATTAAGGATACATTTTAATTTCTTCAACATTTTTTTTCAGGAAGTGAGGAAAAGGGATTCTTGGTTCAGGCTCTTTCAATTAAGTGTTCACTTAGACTTTTAACGATCTTTCTCAAGCAGCATGAAGACAGCTTGTAGGTCTCTTGGTCTTTATTTTGGGAAAGGGTGGATAGCTGAGGTCCTTATAGAAAAGATCACAACTGAAACACAAACCAGAATCACAAGTCCTAGAGAACTAGGACGCTGGCTGAGCCAAAAGGGAGGCTCCCTTTGGACAAGCTACCAGACACATGTTGCCTGTGTCTTCTCCCCCTCTGGGAGCCAGTTTTCTCTTCCTTAGACAGCTTACTCCCCATTCCATTACAGACTATGGGAATTTTGACTGTGTAAGGAGTCAGAGACTAGGCCCCTGGTGCTTTTCCTCCTTCTGGGGCTGTCCCCCTTGCTGACCACAGGCTTTGTGGCTTTATTACAAAAAGTAAAAGCAGAGCATTACATACCCCAAAGTATGCCATGACATAGTTATTCTGTGCTTTCTTCTCTTGACATTAGTACCAAAAGAGAATAAGCATGTACACATCTGTTTTATATAAGCTAATTCTAGACTTTTAACTTGATTAGTATAAGAGAATATTTGATGTGATTAATTTTCCAGTTACAACACAATGGCTTTCCATTCTTTTATTGCCTTCTTAAGGGAGACAAGAGAAGAAAAAATAACCTAACTTTAATTTTTTTTTTTTTTTTAGTTTCATAGCAGTACCGAGTATAACCATTAGAGTTGGTACAAAAGTATTCTGCTTTTAATTCAGTTGTAGTCACAAGTTACCTATCCTGTAGAAATGTGCTAAAATAAACATAAAATAATCCTGAGCCTCATTACATACAGAACCAGACATTCTGGGAAAGATCATTCATTGAGGACATCATCACACCATCTAGCGATTTGCAGGAGACAGTTTATTAGAAAGCGGTGTATGTACCCACTGCTTTATGGCAATCTTCTGCAGCACTCATTCTTTTAAGCCAATGTTTTTCTGAGCTACGCTTTATTAGGCCTAGTGTGACAAATGCTTCCAACTAGGTGATCGCTTGAACTACTTAGCCAGCAAGCAGGATCTTATCCTGTCTAGGGCAGGAAGAAGAATTTCAAGAGAGAAAACTGAATCAGAGAGAGGATTTTAAAACTTTTTTTCTTTTTTTATGTTTATTTATTTTTGAGAAAGAGACAGAGAGAGCATGAGTGGGGGAGGGGAAGAGAGAGAGGGAGACACAGAATCCAAAGCAGGCTCCAGGCTCTGAGCTGTCAGCACATACCTTGATGCAGGGCTCAAAATCATGAACCTTGACATCACGACCTGAGCTGAAGTCTGGTGCTTAACCGACTGAGCCACCCAGGTTCTCCCAGAGAGAAGGTTTTAGTATTGACTTTGCTATAAATGAGCCACACTACTTTTTAAAAAAATGTCACCTTTTCTTGGGCGCCTGGGTGGCTCAGTAGGTTAAGTGTCCAACTGCGGCTCAGGTCATGATCTCATGGTTCATGGGTTCGAGCCACGTTGGGCTCTGTGCTGACATTTCAGAGCCTGGAGCCTGTTTTGGATTCTGTGTCTCCCTCTCTGTCTCTCTCTCTCTGCCCCTCCCTGGCTCTGAAAAATAAATAAACACTAAAAAAAAAAGATGTCACCTTTTCGTATTTCCCCCATCCTCCAAGGTTAACAGTGATGAGAACAGGTGATGTAAAGAGATTTTTGCTCGTTAGCATGACACTGGAGATGTTCCACAATCTGCTATATGGTACCACAAAGTCTGCCATTGTATATGAATCTGCAGGAGGAGCTAATCTCTTCTCCACTGCCAAGTCCTATCTCCTGGATCTTCTAGGGCTTCCTGGAGGAATTTGGGGGTGGGAGGATGGTCTAGGATAGATCTATGATAGGATAGATAAACTAAACCAGCTCCCAGTAAATAAAAAAAATTATTTCACTTATTCCTCTTGTCCCTGTCTCTGTCCCCAGAGCCTTTAAAGAGCATTTTTTGACTTGTGCCTCTTTGGTGCTACTATGCAGATCTCTTCATAAAAAGCAACTGAATGATAATAATAATTTTGATATTGTTCTCCCAGTCTCTCCTTGTCTTATCTGTGGCTATTATTTTTAGTTCATGAGCCCTCAAAATTTACAGGCTGAGGGCAGCATTGGGAAGCAGTGGAGAGCACTGGCATGGCAATCAGCTGGTTCAAGTTCTGGTTCTACTGTTCATTAACATTGGCCTTAGGCAAATTGCTTCAACTCTCCAAGTTTCAGTTTCCTTAGGTGAAGAATGTTGTTAATAATATTATTACTGCAGCCTACTCCTATTTTTGTCCTTTCCCCCAATTTGCCTCTTTTATTCCATTTCTCACTCATTGTCTGAGTGACTTTGCTGAAATATAACTATTTTTTTTCTCTTTAGCTTCAATTCCTCTAGTATCTTTATATGACCTCAGGATATGATCCAAGCTCCCACCAGTTTCAGGCAGGTACAACCTGATAGCGTCTTCCCTCAGGCATCTCCTACATGTTTCCTGTCTCTGTCCAGGGCTTTTGTATTGATGTTTTGGGGCAGGATGCCAAGGAAATCAGATTAGCATCCATGTATGTGGGACCCAAAAATGTGGGGTTGTTTGGACCCCATGAGGTAAGTCATTGACCAATGAGAAGGGGAGCTAATGAGCAAGTACTTCCCCCTTTTATCATACCCACTCCCTTTTCTCCTTCACAACAGTCTTGAGACAACTAACATCAGGGCTTTCAAGTTCCATGGGACCCAGTAACCAGTGGCTTATAGCAGAGGCCATCTTCGTAATGTACTCTTGCACTGGCTCTCCTTTCTTCCCTACCTCATTCCTCTCATCCTTCATGCCTGCAGCCTGAGAATCATACCCTTACCTTCATCTCAGGCTCTGCATTCTGGGGAACTTTCGCCAAGACTGTCACATAATTTTAGAGCTGAAGTTAATTTTCCAAATTGTGTAGTATGATGTGTTTGTGATAATTAGTGGCTAAAGCAAGACTGGATTCACAGACTAGTGCTCCTTCCAACCTCATAGAGACTGTTTTTAATAACAAAAGCAAGAAATGAGCTCGGATATATTGGTATTTCTGGGCAATACTCTGACTTAAGCAGTACTGTCTTTTTTGCCCAACCCTTCCTACCCCCACCCTGGGCCATGCCCTCTTCCTAGCCTAACCACTTTCTCCCAATGTGTATTCTTGGTATTCTCTGCTGACTGCCTGCCAAAATCTGCTTTCAGGGACTTGTTTATTTTAAAGTGTAAATAAGATTTCTGTCCACAGGCTACCTTGTCTCCAGAGGCCTACATTTCAACAGAGATCAAACTTTATTGAGAAGGAGTAGAAGAGCCCAGGTGTGTTTCTCCAGTGTCACAAATCATGTTGTCATCAATTACATGAGACTAAAGTGGAGACATGCAGCTGGGATTATGGAAGATAAATGTATGTATTCTACATATATACATATCAAAGCACAAATGCTTTTTGAGACACTGAATATTCCTTTTCTTTCTTTTTTTTTTTAATTTTTTTTAATGTTTTTATTTATTTTTGAGACAGAGAGAGACAGAGCATGAGCGGGGGAGGAGCAGAGAGAGGGAGACACAGAACCCGAAGCAGGCTCCAGGCTCTGAGCTGTCAGCACAGAGCCTGACGCGGGGCTCGAACTCACAGACCATGAGATCATGACCTGAGCCGAAGTCAGACACTCAACTGACTGAGCCACCCAGGCGCCCCTCCTTTTCTTTCTTAACCCTCTTTCCCTACCACCATGCCCAGTGGACCTAAGTAAGTCCCTCAATGCTACCACTCACTTAGATATCAGGGTGTTAGTGAAGCTATAAAAGACCTTCTATAAACAAACAAATAAAAAAAGCTCTCTACTTATCTGTTTCTTTCAAAGCATTGTGTCCCCGGTGCATATGTACCTAGGTTCAAACTTCGAAATAGTATCCTCAAATACATGCAAGGGTAGTAATAATACTTCACTTTTACTGAGAGCTTGCTGCATTGCTAGGCACTGGGCTAAATGAAGAATAATCATTCTTTCATTTTATTCTCAGGCTAAGAAAGACCATGATTCCAGAGAGATGGGAAACAAATGAGGCGAGTTTTATAATTGTTCCAGTTTCCCACTTTCAGAGAGTTTCCAGGTCATGATGTACAGAGGCGGAAGCAAGGTGGAACCAAGCAGGGCTGAGAGTTGAGGAGATACAGGTGAGAGTCCAAGGACACTAAGAAGCTAGAGTTTGCAGGAGAGAGAACCTGAAGGAGCTATGTAGATAGAAAACTCCAGAGATCTGAATCGAGTCCCTCTTAAATATTCAGCTGAGTACTGACCAGCATATGCATGTGAAAAAATTGGCTAAGGCCCAGGAAAGAACCGCTTGAAAGGAATAAAGGTAACTAACTGTGCCCACACTCACAAGGGGATGGGAACAGGTCTGTCCCCACCAGCCGGACTGGAAAACCTCATGATTCACAGAGTACTGGTACAGTGACAGATGGGTCTTTGTCACTAATGGGGAATAACTAGTTCTAAAATGAATACTGCTTTGGTCTGACCTAACAAATTTTAAAAGTAAGTCCCAAAAGGATCAAACTATTTCCAAATAATTTAGGAAAGAGTTCAAGAATATTTATAGGAATACAAAAATACCTGTACCCCAAAGGTGAAATTCACAGTGTCTGACATCCAGTCTAAGAATATGAGGCCCGAAAGGCAGCAAAAAAAAAAAAAAAAGCAACCTGTAACAAGCAGACAAAAATCAGTTGAAAGTGATGCAGAACTGATACAGATGTTAAAACTACCAATTAAGGACCTTCAAGCAGTTACTCTAAGTGTATTCCGTATATTCATACACTAAAAATGAGATATGGAGGATATAAATAAATCCAAATCCAATCTAGAGATGAAAACTACAACATCTGAGATGAAAAGTACACTGGTGGGGGGTGGTGCCTGGGTGGCTCATTTGGTTGAGCATCTGACTCTTGGTTTCTGCCCAGGTCATGATGTTGCAGTTTGTGGGTTTGAGCCCCATATCAGGTTCTGCGAGGACCGTGTGGAGCCTGCTTGGGATTTCTCTTTCCCTCTCTCTCTGCCCCTCCTTGGTTTGCTGTCTCTCCCTCTATGTCAAAAAGAAAATAAATAAACAAACATTAAAAAATTACGCTGAACATGACAGTATAGAATAGACAGTGGAGAAGAAAAGACCTTGAAGAAATAGCTATGGAAACTGTCAAAAAATGAAACCCAACGAGAAAAGAAAATAACAATTAAAAAGAATGAACTGAGCATCAGTGAGCTGTGCAACAACTTCAGATGGCCTCATATATGTGAATTGATATTTGAAGAAATGAAGACCAACATTTCCAGTTTTGATGAAAAACATATACTTACTTACAGGTACGAAAAGCTTGATAATCCCTAGGTACACGAGGGGAGAAACCAAGAAACATAAGGGAAGCCACACCAAGGCACATCATATTCAAACTGATTAAACACAGTGGTAATAACAAAACTCTTGAATGCGTTAAAGAAAAAAAGATACAGATCATATAAAGTAACAAATGTAAATACGATAGAGATTTCTTACTGGGAACAAGGCAAGCAAGAAGATAGTGAAGTAATATCTTTAAAATACTGAAAGAAAAATAAAAACCTATCCATGTAGAATATACTACCCGGCAAAAAAATGTATATATATACATAGCTTTCAAAAACAAAGGTGAAATAAAGACTTTCAAATGCACAAAAGTGAAAGATTTTTTCCACCAGGAGAACTTCACTACAGGAACCATAAAAGCAGGTCCTTCAGGCAGAAGAAAAATGGTATCACATGTAAATCTGGATCTATACAGAGAAGTATATATATACTTCAGGAATGGTGAGCACCAGGAATGGTGAGTACATTGGTAAATATACTTTTTTCTTATTGTTTAGATCACTTTAAAAGGTAATTGACTATTTAAATAACAAAACAACATCAGTGTAGTGTGAGGTTTAAAATACAGTGATGTAGGGGCCCCTGGGTGGCTTAGTCAGCTGAGCATCTGACTTCAGCTCAGGTCATGATCTCACGGTTCATGGATTTGAGCCTTGTGTCAGGCTGTGTGCTGACAGCAAGGAGCCTGGAGCCTCCTTCAGATTCTGTGTCTCCCTCTCTCTCTGCCCCTCTCCCGCTCACACTCTGCCTCTTTCTCTCTCTCGTTCTCTCAAAAATAAACATTTAAAATAAAAGAAAATAAAATATAGTAATGTAAAATAAAATGGATGACAACAACAAAAAGGTCATGAGAGGAGTAATGGAAATATACAATTCTAAGGTTATTTTATTATACGTGAACTAGTGCTATTCCTAGAAGGAAGATTGTGATTAAGTAAAGATATGTACTGTAAACCCTGAATAAGCTAGCAATGAAGATATAATGTAATCATAAAAAGTATTCAATACATCCAATAGAAAGCATAAAAAAAGGAAGAAAAGAGCAAAGAATCAAGAGAATACGAAAGAAATACCAAGATGATCGATTTAAATCCTACCACATCCATAATCACATTGAATGTAAATGGTCTAAACAGCCCAATTAAAAGGCAGAGATTATTCAATTACATAAAAAAAGCACAACTGAATTGTATGGTGACTACAGGAAACACACTTTTAATGTAAAGACACAAATAGGGTAAAAGTGACAGGATAGAAAATGATAAATCATGCTAATACAAATTGAAAAAGCTAGAGTGGCTACATTACTATCGCTAGATATATTTCAGAGCAAATAATATTACCAGGGATAATGAAGATAACTGCATAATGATAAAGGTGTCAATTAGTTAAGAGGATATAACTCTAAATGTTTATGCATCTAATTATAGGGCTTCAAAATGCATAAAGCAAAAACTCACAGAACTGCACTAAGAAATAGACAAGTCCGCAATTATAGTCAGCAATTTCAATACCACTATCCAAAACTGACAGAATAGGCAGAAACCAGTAAAGTTATGAAAGACTGGGATAATGCTATTGAACAACTTGACCTAATTGACATTTATAGAACATTCTACCCAATAACAAACATTCTTTTCAAGTGCTCCTGGAACATTTACCAAGATAGATCATTTAATCCTGATTAGGTAGGTACTATCATTCTTTTCTTTTTTTTTTTTTAAGTTTATTTATTTTTGAGAGAGAGAGAGAGAGAGAGAGAGAGAGAGAGAGAGAGAGACTGAGCATGAGTGGGGAAGGAGCAGAGAGAGAGGGAGACAAAGAATCCAAAACAGGTTCCAGGTTCCTTGCTGTCAGCACAGAGCCTGACATGGGGCTCGAACCCACGAACTGCGAGATCATGACCTGAGCCAAAGTCAGACGCTCAACCAAGGTGCCCCATCATTCTTAGTCTTTATGGTGGAATAAATGAAGGTATGGAGTTAGGTAATTTACTGAAGATACAGTTATTGTCACAGCTGGGCTTTTAACCCAGGGTATCTGACCCAGAACTCTTAATCACAGGCTCTATGACCTTCCTTGAACACCTGGAACAGCTCAGCTCTCAGTGAAAACTCTAGGACTTATAATGCAATCCTTTTTAAATAAACAAAGGGGGAGGCTACTCAAATAGCATTCTGTAAATACTACTTGGAAAGGAAGTACTTTCCCCATCTCCTCTCATATTCCCACTCAGCCCAAATGGCCTGTCTGCTTCCTTGAAGTGACATGACTTATAGGTATCATAAACTCACGTCCCACTGCTGTTGGGTCTAAAAAAGAAGACAGTTGCAGACTGTAAAATACTGGTGAGAGCTGGCTCTTCCTCAGGCGGCCTCTGGGTGAGATGGGTGGTCTAATGCACAAACCAACGTCGATCAAGATGCATGTTTGCCCCACTTTAGAAGGTCAGGATCCAGACAACTCCTTTTCCACAAGGGAAGCACGTTTTCATTAAAATGAAGAAAGGAATCCCTAGCTTATGGTTGATTTTCTTTGTCTACCTTCTTATCTCTGTTATTAGTTCTAAAATGTATATAACAATTACAACACGGAAAGCCTTTGTAATGTTTTCCAGGGCGAGGTTTCCTTACTTATCAGCAAGAAAATGTCATGGAGGGGGAACACCTTTTTAATGCATCTTTGGCTAAGACTTGGCACCTGGTTGTTCTATGGGAGGAAATGTGAAATGGGGATATTATTCGGCCTCACCGTGCGAAGGAGAGGATTCAGACTGCTCAGGAGCATGACCCTTGCTGATGAAACTTTAAAAATCAGTTTTCTCTTCAGTATGCAGCCTTTCTCTCTCCTCATCCACTCCCCTGAACTTCCATCTCGTCTTCACATCCAGCTTTCTTCCCTTCTCCTGCCTTTCCTAACTACAGTCAGTGGCTCCCCAGTTCCTGCTGTGTCTCTCATTTCCCTCAACAAGCCCCTTTCCTTTTCCTCCCGCGTCTGGCCCATCCAGCTCTCCCCTCCCTCCCTCCGTAGTCCCTGAGGAGATCAAAGAGTGACAGTGAGGCTGCTGCTGGAAGAGACGTTTCCAGCTCCCCCTCCTGGCTGGGCTGAGCCTTGGGCTGAGAGACTGGAGGCTGGGCCGGGGCGTCTTGGCTTCTGGGGAGATTAGGAAAGAAGACTCTGCAGCCGCGTTGCACACAGTAGAAAAGTAAAATTCCCTTTGTGCTAGTTAGTGTGGCGTCCCCTCAGTTTGGGATTTTGCCACACATTCTTGAAAGCCATTGTTTGCACTGGGGTCCCGTAGGTTAGGAGCAGCGCCGGCGGGAGCGGAGCCGACCCTGGGAGAGCTTCCCCCGTCCCGCACTGACCCTACAGTCGGCGGAGAAAGCAGTCGCTCTCCGGGAGTGGGGCGGTGGGGGCTCCAGCGCCGAGGAGTGGGGGGGGGGGGGGGGGCCCCCCCCCCCCCCGCACCGCAGGCCGCTCCGGGCTTGCCCTCCTTGCTCCGGAGCGAGCGGCGCACAGTGGAAAGTTGGGAGCCCGAGTGGCTGGCCCCAGCGGAGTGCGGCGCGGCGGCGGCGGCGGCGGCGAGGGCGGCCGGATTGGGCGCGGCGCC